AGGAAGGACTGGGGTTTCATGAAACATTTCTTTCCTTACTGACCATAATATAGAAACACTTGGTGTTTCTTCTTGGCTGGGAATGCCATGCCCACATGAGTAAGAAAAGCAGTATAGCTCTTTTATGTCAGGAGTTCAGATCTATTTCTGATACAGTTTTGGCATCAAAATAAAATTGGGGGGAAAATGCTCTTCTGTTTCATGGCTTGCAAAGGACCTATTCTATAGTAACCCAAATACTGTTAATGAGAAGGTATGTATTTATTTGCTCACCAGTTTAGGTTCTGTGTAGAAAACACGGTTTCAATAAAACATGCATTTTTGGTTTGTGTTCTCTATATATGTGGAGCTTTCCTACAACAACAGGCAAATTATGGTAATGTCTTAGAGGAACAAGCAGTGGTTGTGTGGTTACTGAGTGGGATCTTTGCCTGCAGTAAAATTTTACTTTACAAACTAAATGTGACAACAGAATTGCATGCATAAACTGTTCCTGGGAGCTGAGACCTATTTACAGCAAGCGGCCTGGTTACATTCTGCCCATGACTAGAGATCCTTTTAGACTCTGGGACTAGTCTTGTCCTAGTCTTTGAAAGCATGAGTTGCTCGAGCCCGGTGTGTGCAGCACTGAAGGCTTTCCTACATGGCTCTCCACAGGCCATACCATAACCCCTGTAATTGAAGAATAAACTTCTAAACCCATAGAAAACATGACACTTGACAAGTTCACCTTAAAGAGAATATATGCTTGTTTGAAAATTTTAAAATTTAATTTATTTTTTTTTTAAATTTCACAATCTGTGAATTATTTTTGAGAGGAACAAGAAAACTGTGCATAAGAAGTTACTAATTGAGCTCAAAAGGGTTTATACAAATAGAAAAATAGGAAAAAAGAGAATATTTCTGTGACATAGACTAAATAGGACTCCGTAGAGACAGGGAACCAACCCTGCTTAGCATATATGGGGTCACATCTGGAATACTGTGGCTAGTTTAAAGCTTCCCAGTTCAAGGGAGATATCATTCAATCGGAGGCAATTAGAGGAGGACCATCATGATGGAGGGTAGCTGGAGCACTTGCTGTGTGAGGAGAAGCTGATGGAGCTGGGCTTTTTCAGCCTGAAGAAGGAAATTGCCTCAGGAGTACCTGCCCCTGGCCTCCAATGTCAATGGGGCAGCATCTCTTCTCTCCATCAACATGTTGGAGTCAGGCTTCTCACAGTGATGCTTGGTAAGAGGATGAGTGGTGATAGATAAAAAATTGAAGCAAAAGTTTTAGACTGGATATAAACAAAAACCTCTGACATGGCAGCCTCACTGAAGTCATGGTAGACAATATCCACTGCTATCCCTGCATCTGCCAAGCTGGCCATTTCATTTCAGAGGTATCAAATTGGTCAAGCTTCTTGTCTTCCTGTTGGTGAACCCATGATGATTACTTTTGATGATTTTCTTGTCCCTAATGTGCCTTGAAATTATTTTCAGGATTCATTTATCTATCTCTTTCCCAGGGATTGATGTGACGCTGACTTGTCTGTAGTTCCCTGCGTATTCCTGAAGATAGGAGTGAGATTTTCTGGGTCTTCAAATGGCTATCCCAATCATCCCAGTCATCACTATCATTCAAAGACTATTGAGTGACTTCACAATGACATCCTGAATAGCCAACTCCATTGGCACCTGCGGGGTGCATCCTGTCAGGTCCCATGGACCTACATGTGCCAGTTTTGTTCTCTAATCTGATCTTCTTCCACCCAGGATAGGTTTTCCTTTCTCCAGGCTTTTATGTATCTGCTTCTGGGACCTGGGATTCCTGAAGGTTTGGTTTGATGGTAAAGACTGAGGCAAAGAAGCCATTCAATACTTTAGCCTTTTCTATGTCATTGGGTTTCACAGGTGTGCATTTTCTGTAGTCTTCCTTTTGTTCCATCTGTATGTAAAGAAGCACTTTTTATTGCTTTTGACATCTCTCATCAGATTCAATTCTAACTGGACTTTGGCTTTTCTAACTATGTCTGCATGCTTGGACTTAGACTATATACCTTCCAGGTTACTTGTCCCTGCTTCCACCTTTTTTATGCTTCCTTTTTATGTTTTAATTTGGTCAGCAGCAACATGTTAATCCTGGCCAGACCTCCTGGCATTTTTGAATATCTTCCTCCTTGCTGTGATGGACTGTTGTGGAACTTGGAGGTGCTCCTTTAATATTACTCAGCTTTTTTGGGTCCCCCTTCTCTCCAGAGCTTTATCTGATGGGAATCTTCCAAGCAGATACATGAAGAGTCCCAAGTCTGCTTATCTGAAGTCCAGAACTGTGATCTTGCATTGTGCCCTCCTCCAATCCCTTCATAATACTGAACTCTCCTATCATGATCACTGCAGCCAAGGCTGCCTTCACAGTCCCAGAGTCTTCCTTTTTGTGTGTGTGTGTGTGAGCAGAGCATCTCTTATTACTGTTTTTTTCTGTCACTTGGAATAGGAAGTTGTCACTGATGTTCTCCAAGATCCTCCTGCAGTGTGTATGCCCCAAGTGGGTTGAAGTGTCCGCCAAGTCATCAGGACTATGAATGTAAAGCTACTTCAAGCTTTGAGCAGGAAACTGGACTAGGAATTTTTCATGTCTATACTGGATTATCCTATGATCCTGTGATGCTTGTACATTTCTTGGGTTATCACATGACCATTTGTGTTTCTTCTGTGTAAAGAGATTGTTTAGCTGTGAGAGGTGACTTCCTCTTCAGGCAATATGCCATGAGTGTGGGGTTACTCACAAGTCAGGGTCTGTATGTAGCCCCTCAGGATGCCTTGCAGAAGAGCTGCATTTGCATGGCCATGTTTTGGAGGTGGGAGGGGCTACAGGGCTGGCTTCTGTGAGAAGCTGCCAGCAGCTTCCACCATGTGTGGCAGAGCCAATGTCAGCTGGCATTGCCAGGACAGACCCACCGCTGGCCAAGGCTGACCCAATTAGATATGGTGGTAAGGCCTCTGTGATAACATATTTAAGACTCTGGGTGTTTTTAAGGTATTGAGAGAATCTGAATGAGTATTAATACTTGGAATAAAATAAGAGTTAAGCTTTAGTATGAAGGAGAGGGGTATAGATAGTTGTTTTCTTTGTATGCTGGAAATAGGAAAGTTTTTACATATTGCATAAAGTAGCTGCTTTCTTCATGGACTCTTTAAGTTCTTCAACTAAGCAAATTGTATATTCCAATGGGTTTAGCTTGGTTGGATCATTCTGCTTTAGTCTCGTTGTTTGTTGACCACTGAAATGTGCAGTTCCCCTTCCTTACTGTTTCCCGTGAATGAGGCCCACACTAGGATTACATCACAATTTTAACAGACTGCTAGGTGTGTGAAAAATTTACATCTTTGTTTACAGGAAGATAAAGAACCTGTTTACAATTGCATTGTATATAGTTTCTGGAGCAGCTGTTTATGCCAATTCCTGCTGTAGTTACCCAATGGCATCTAATTGAAAGCTTTCATCTGATTCCTCCTGTTTTTGGTAGATAATTTCCTCACAGAGTAAATGTTTTTCTCCATTTCCACTGGTTGTTCGGTATAAAACAAGAGAAGTCATTAATGAATCACAAAAAAATGTCAACAGAAGGAAATTAGCTACTACTTTAGCTACTACTGGGCATTAGGAATGTGGAGAGTTTGGGGAGAAAAGCTTCTTTGGGAAGACCAAGGCATTTCTCTGGTCCTCCCAGCTCTCAGCTGTCCTGGATGTTTCACTCAATAACACATCATTTCTTGCTTCTATTTACTTGAACAGCTTGATGAAAGACAAACAGTTAGGGCAGCCAAGAGAAATAAATTTCATTACATCATTCTCGGGTGTATATGTTTAAGTTAATTAGTTATGCTCAATTTTATTTCTTTGTTCTCTAATCTGTCTAAACTATGTTACAGGCTCCACTGATCTGTGAAGACTAAATAATGTGCAGGCTTGTACATAGTATTTTCTGACTAGGAAGAAAAACCTCTTTTTATTTCTCTTAACCCCTGTTGAGGAACCTTGACTATGGGAATAAAATAGGAAACAGGTCTAGTACGGAACTAAATGTTTACTGGTGTATTTTTAAACAAGTGAACTGACATTGTCAGGTGAAGACACTGTAAACATTGCTGCAGAGTTTTAATTGTATATTGACTAAGAAGTGGATCTTTTGTTTCCCCAACTGTGTAATATGTCTGGTGATTAATCTAGTATCCATTAGGAGTGCAAGACATCAGTGCTGTGCACAATAAGTTCTTTCATCCCCAGGCCAAGAGCCATTCTGCAGGCATAATGCAAGGATGCCTACAGATCTGTGTGGGTGTACATAAACTCTAACCTGAACATCTTGTAGTGTTCTCGAGTGGGAGGGTAATTTCGCCTCTTCATTGATTTTACTGATGTCTCTTATGAGCGAGTAGTGCCGTTTCCCTCACCTATGATGAATTGTGTGTGCTACACAATGTGGGCTATTGCTCACCAGAGGATTAAGCAGGAGCAACAAACCTGCTTTATTTTCTTCAAACCTTTCATCAGTGGAGGACACTTGCGTCATCTTGTACAATTGTAACATTTTGATACAGAAAAGAAGACTTCCGGTTTTTCTAGAGGAGACTGCCTAGGTTGACAAAAGTGCTTACATTGCATCTGGATTTTTTACAAAAAATTGCTACATTACTTGTACTGAACTCTTCAAAGGGAAAGAAATTTTATGAGTAGTCTCAGCACTGTTAAATTAAGCTGTCCTAACTACCTGCAGTAACCATGGTATTTAAAAGTCTGGATTACTGCAGCAGTTCTTTGTCTGGGATATGGTACGTACTGTACTTGGATTTTAATGGAGCCATTTATACAGATTTTATACTTTCTCATAAAACTCCTCAAGGTGAATGAAAACAAGCGTGGGCTAAATGTTTTCACTTCTCAGTGCTCTTTCTGTTACAGAATCTTGCTGGCTTTCTTAATTGCTAACTTATGCAGTTTCTTTGTCTTCTAGAATGTCGGGTGGTGAAATCTACTTCCTATACCAAAATAGCTTCGAGTTCACGTAGGAGCACCACCAAGAGCCCTGGCCCATCCCGACGCAGCAAGTCTCCTGCTTCTACTAGCTCAGGTAAAGCAAGCAAACAATCTTTCTTAACAACAACAACCATTCTGTTCCAATAGAGTGGGCAATGCACATAAAATTCCACATTTCTGTGGAAAAAAATTTTATGCTTAAAATAGTTGATACTAAAAATTCATGTGTTTTCTCAGTGACATTTGAGATCAAGTGTCTTCCAAATACAAACACAAACACAAAATGCAATACAAATAAAAGCTTCGAAATCTTATGAATCATACTTTGGTATTACAGTGGTTCAATTCACTTTACTTTTTCATGCTTGTTTTTGCTTCCAATACCTAAACATTGAGGTAAAAATGTATGGTAGTCTTTGTACTAGGAACTGAATGAAAACAATCCAGAAAGTAACCCAAGTTATGCAGCATAAGATCTGTGTTGCTGAAAGGTTAATTTCACAATCTTTTTTGTATTTTGTTTCTGAGGGAATGAAGAGGCAGTAGTGAGGAAAGGATTGATTCAAGATCATGAGGATATTGAGAAAAGGAGGGCAGGGCAGAGAAAGAATGGAATTACAGATGTGAATGTGAGGTAGAAAGATAGGTGAGGAAGAAATGTCAGAATTGACTAACAAGCCAGTTATACAGGCTGGAGAAGACACAGCAAAAAGCTGTGACTAATGAAGAATCTATGGGATTTCTGTGGGACTAGCAACACTTTTTTCTGTGTTGAATATTCAATACCATGTTAGTTTTGGTCCTGAAAGAAATAGTGTTAAAGGTGTTGGGGAAGTGCAGGTGACTAAATCTTTGCTTCTTGAAGCTCACGCCTGTAAAGGTCTGAGCAGAATATATTACATACCTCAAAAGATCAGAATATTATTTTACAGCCAATGGAAAAAAGGGAATGTTTTTACTGCACAACAATAACAATTAACGTAACACTAAGTTTACAGCAAGAAATGAAACAGTGTAGTGAAAATATTAAAAATGCAAGCCGTTTTGGATGGTGCTGTGCTGATGACAGATGTAACCATCTTAAACGTTTCTTATGTGAAAATACATTTATAGGAAATAGGCACATGTTAGTTTGTCACCAGCAGATTTTCTTCAAGTCTAGAGCCAATTTTGTTCAATGTTTTTATTGATGATTTGGATAGAGAAGGTGAAAGCACCAATAGCAATTTTGAGGATAATAACAAACTGAGAAGTGCTGAAGACTCTCTGAAGGAATAAGATGCTTTGCAAAGGGATCTAGATAGATTGGAGCATTGGGCAATGATTAATGAGATGGAGTTTAAGAGGAACAGATGTCGAATGCTGCACCTGGAATGTAATAGTGGTAGGCACAAGCATAAACTGGGAGAGGAGTGGCTGGAGAGCAGCACTGCAGACAGGGATCTGGAAGTGCTGGTTGGCAGCAGGCTCAGTATGAGTTAGCGGTGTGCCCTGGTAACCAGGAGAGCAAATTGCATCCTAGGGTGTGTCGAATACCAGCCAGGTGAAAGAGGTGATCAATGTGATGTATTCAGTGTTGGTGTGGCCTCACCTTGAGCACTGTGTACAGTTCTGGGCACCACAGTTTATGAAGGGTGGGAAGGTACTCAAATGTGGCCAGAGGTGGACAACAAAACTGATGAAAGGGCTGGAAGGTGTGTCCTATAGGGAGCAGCTAAGCACTTTGGGCTTGTCTTGTGAGAAAGGAAGGGCTGAGGAACGACTCGGCTCTCTATGGCTTCCTGAGGATGGGATGTGGAGATGAAGGTGCTGAGCTCTTCTCTTTGGTATGCAGTGACAAGACATGTTGGAATGGCTCAAAGCCACACCAGGGAAGATTTAGACTGAACATTGGGAAGCATTTCTTTCTGAGAGGTTTATCAAGAATTGAAACAAGCTGCCCAGGGAAGCGGTTGAGTTGGCATCCATGGAGATATTTAAAAGATGTGTGGACATGGCACAGAGGGACATGGGATAGTGGTAGAAAGGTCTCCTCTGGTCTAAACAGCTCAATGATTCTATAGCTAGGAAGAATTTCTTTATCAAGAAATACCATGTGGTTGGTTGGATACCAGGTGCTCACCAAAGCCACTCTATTGCTCCACTTCTCAGCTGAGCATACTGAAGTTTTGGTCAGCTCTGAGTTGGTCAGGCAGCTGGATTAGAAGGTTGTTGTAGGACCCTTCCAACTGAACTATTCTGTTCTGTTCTGTTCCATTCTATTCAAAGTTCTTTAAGCTTAAAAAGGATAAACAATTGAAAATGTTTCTATAGAATTTATTTTTTTAGTGAGGGGAATGGGTCTGATTTGGCTGTCTGTACCTCTGGTGTTTGTTTTTTGCAAATAGGTCAAATTGTGTGAATGTTACAGTAAACCTATTTCTAACCTTACATACATGAGTACTTAGATCAGTATTAATTTGTTTTTAGACAAAACCCAAAGTTCTCCCATGAAATGCAAGCAATATGTACAGGTGTCATGTTTCTGCCACCCAGCAAGCATAAAAATGCTGCTTGTTTCTTGGAATTATGTACTTGTGACAGAAGCAGACTAGAGAAATTGCCTTCTAGCACACATATGAGCAGATAATTTTTTCCATGTCTACATTAAACATTTCAGTACTAGAGAATCTCCTCAATGACTTGGGCATTGCTAGAAGTTATGCTTTTGTTGTCATGCTGTTACTGCTAATTGTATGTACATGTATTTTTCTGGTATGTTTTTAAACTGCTTTCAGTTAACCTTTAAATACTTTTAGGGATCTTTCTTTCATTAGCAAAAAACACTGAAAGTAAGAAAAAGAGTAAATTCTCTGATCAAAGACAATACATACGTATTACAAAAAGTTAAAAGTGTGTCATTTTCTGAAGTGTTTTGTCATAGAACAAAGTCAAAAGAAGTAGGGATAAAGGGAAGCAGAAAGCATTCTTGATAGTCCACCCTTGACAAAAGCTGAGGGAGGTGAATGGAAAAGAGTTTTTCGCTAATTAGAAATAATCTGATTCCTTTTGTTTCTTTTTGATTCTTGCTGCACTTTGGGAAGTCTGCACATTCTAACTGCACAAAAGGATCATAGTTCTGCTTCAGACTTGAATTAATGTTCATGTCAAGAAAATACACGTAGATAATTACATGGGCCAAAAAAGGAAAGTTCCATAGACAAAGACTATATTAAAAAATGTTCAAATCTCAAAATTGGGTATTAAAACTGATAAAACTGTAGAATGAAGATGTATCCTTGAGTTAACTTCTATTCTCTTGTGTCTGCATCTCTAGTATGGTATAGTCTTTAATGCAGGTATTCAACAGGATAGCTGATTTGGATTCATCATTTTTAGAGGTAATGAAGACAAAGTTATGGACCATTTTCCCATTGTTAAGAAATAGATGTACAAATGAGGCTAAAACACTTAGACAATCTGTTCTGGTAAAATACTTCAATGCCATCCTCAACAGCTATTTCCCTCCTTTGACACAGAATTTGAAGTGGTCAATGAACTAAGCCAAACTTTGGCTTCTACTAAATGTTTATAGATTGAATGAAGCTCATGGGTTCCTTTTTCTGAGCAAATGGTGGTTTGGGGTGGTAAACTTTCCCAAATTCATCCCAATAGCTTCTGAAGTTGCTTGCAGATATCAAAGGGGTTATTTTGAGGGGTTGGTCATTTGTTGTTTATCTTTGTCTTGTTTACGCATCTGAAAGTCTGGAGCAATAATATTTTACCAAAACCAGTGCTTTTAAGATAAGCTCAGTAATGTTAAATTATTTTGGAGGAAATTCTGAGTGCTTGAAGGCCCTTGCTTTCCATTTCAGTCTCACCTTTTTGTGACCTCTGACTCTGTGAGGGACAGGCAAAGGACTCTGAATGTCCCCTCTCCCTGGGGAGCTACCAGCCACTGAACTGGAGAACCATTTCCCTCATTGTCTCATCTGCTACTGGGGAAAAAGGAGACTCTTAACAACAATTCCAATGCTCTTTGATTACTTTCATGCTGTGCAGGTGCATTTTGCCCTCTGTTGCCACTAAAGGCAGCACCCTTGGCAAGCCTGAAAGTTCTATACAGAACGTATCTTAACAGCACTGTCAGGCTTTGAAGATACATGGGAACAACAGGATGAAAAACACCTTCCCACGGGCTCTAGGACACACTGCTAGCACAGGGCTGACTGGCCAATCTGTGAGAAGAAATCAGGCTGCATGGAAAGATCCTTAATGAAACCAGAGGCTACAAAAGTGCGCAGGGCCACAACGGTTCACATCTGTGCTCTGGTTAGCTGAGGGCAAAGTAAAATGCATGAGTCTTTGAGAAATACACACTCCCTGCTGTTTCTTGAGCTATACAGTCTACAGTGAGCAAAAGGACTGCATCTGCCTTTACATCATTTCTTGGCACATTTCAAAGGCATGTATGCCTTTACATAGGTGGTGTTCACCTTTTTTCCATCTTTGTTTTTTCACTTCATTTTTTTTTTCATAACAGAGCATATGTTTAATGTACTTATATTTTCCTGATAGCCTCCCTAGCTCCTGAGAACAGATGCATCCTATTTTTAAATAAAAACACAGAATAATTTTTTTCTTCCAAGAGTACAAGTAAGCTTGGAAGATCTGTGTAAGGGCTGACTTCTCCATTATTATGTTTTCTTCAGTTTGTTATTTACATCTGACAGTGTTTCAAAACAGTACCACCAGACAGAAATCTCACTGCAGGAGGATTGCTTTCTGGCTTTTTACAAATCCATTTGAGGTACTGTCTGCTTCAAAAGGCTTTGAGTGTAAAATAGAGAAGAGAAGCATGGAACAAGGCAAAGAAGAGAAGCATAGAAAAGATAGTGTGACCTCCTGAGCAGGCAGAAGGCTGAAGTCTGATTCCAAGTGCAGTGGACAATCCTACCTCTATTTAATTTTTCTGATGTCTTCCTAAAGCCTGTAAACCACTTTGATGTTTGATTTTTTTGTTGGCATCAAATAATATATGGAAAAGGGCATAATAAAAGAGACATTTAATTTTGGTGAGACTGTGTATCAACCCATTGCTGGTGGCTGAAAATG